GAGCTGTTTCAAGAATTGCACTTTTAATTGGAGCATGAACATCCACCTTCATTCTGAACCCAAAATGTTTCAGCACCATGGACAGCCTGATTTGATTTGTTCCGCTAATCCCACACAGTGATTACTCAGATATTGAAATAGCCTAATTCAAGAATTGTTTTCAATAAATTGTTTTCAATAAATTGGTTAATAATATATTATTTACTATAATTATATCAATAACTGTAAGCGGGGTAGCAGGAGTGTTTGATCGGCTATCGTTACCATGGGAACTACTTTATGACGAACTACTTTCTGACGGAGATTAACTCAAGCAGAAAACGTAGGTTTGGGAGCAAATTAGCCCACATTATGAAATTATTTTACGATATTGTTGATTACAATAATAGTTTGTGTAATAGAATCGCAATCATACACTTGAGGCCGTTCTTGAACGTCATTATTGGTACGACAGTACTGCGGCAGGACCGAGGCGCTTGCGCCGAAGTCCGTACACCTGTACTGGAGTGTATGATTGCTTAAGTGAGACATCGAACGGAGTGTTATGAATGAGAACTATAGGTTACTTACGTAACCCCAGTTCTCAGAGTAACATGTAGTGAGATGTCTCACCAGACGGCCCTCCTTGCTAAGGTGAAGCGAGAAGAGGTGCTTATTTTTGAATGACGCTAGGACGCGGCGCAAGCTATTTATAGGGTGGGTGCAGTGGATTCCCTGACGCTGACGTCAAGATCACCAGCCAATCAGGATTGGCGTAATGAGATTGATGCTTCTGTTTGCTCCGCGATGAGGCGCATCCCATAGTGAGACATCTCACTACATGTTACTCTGAGAACTGGGGTTACGTAAGTAACCTGTAGTTTTGAGTCTGTGTGTGTGTTGAGCGCAGCGCCGTCTGCTTTTTTCAGTACAGTAACTAAAGTAGGACTAAGCATACCGGTAGTTTCTGTGGACCTGTCTGCCCGTTTTGTGAGTGCACTGCGCGCGTGCGCACTTGTGTGGCATTGTTTGGGATGACCTAATTAAAATAGCGTCCCCCCGGTAAAAAAAATCCCCACTACACCACTGGCCGTGAGGGCTTTTGTAGTTTGTGCATGTTGGTGATTATGGGCGTCCTGACTCCTCTGGCCTCCTAGTTTTGTGCAGTAGTTCACAACTGGGGGTTGCAAGAAATTATTGATTTTCTTGTGAGTAAAATATTTGTGTATACAGTGTGTCTGTAACTTTGGATTTCATTTCATATAGATGATTATTTAAGATACATTTATATAAAAGGGAACTAAGCAATAGTACAGTAAAGTGAAATCATTACAAGTCAACCTACATTCAAGCATGTCAAATTACTGGGAAGTATGAAAAGAGACAGGTTGTTTCTTAGTGCTTGATCTAGATTAAATTGTTGTCTACGATATCTTGATACAAGATTTCATAACGACACAACTCTATTGAAATAATTTATATTATCGTATAGAATAATTGCCCAGCCCTAATACATAAAACCTAATGTATTATTTCCAGTCTTACCTTTTGATAAGCCAAGAAGAGTGGAGCCTATATGGGTCCCAAAAAACAACTTGTGTGACAACTGCTTGATATGTCACAGTAGTTAAGCCATAATTCACTTCCTCTAAAGTATATAACATTTATTTCTGTCGGCGATTAATGATAGAATCGGCAGTATCAACCTTATTATCTTCAATCAAGTGAACACTATTTTCTTGAATTGTTTTAATAATTAAGTTTTTTTAAATAGATGTCCTCCTAATTAAGCTTTGTATTACCTATAAAATAGCAAAAGAGAAGGTTTTATCAGCAGACAATCCCTCAACTGAAAGAGTATTTAGAAAATAATTCTGCAGGTGTTCAGATAGGCTAATTGGATATAAATCAGAGAAAGGCAGGAAATCTCCGTATTTGAGAGGCTATTCGGAGGATTTTCTGACATTTTGCATGAAAAATAGGCAAAACGACTAATTGGTCAAAATAGTCTGCATTTTTTGAAAAGCAGACAAATATATTTTGATCAGCAATATTAATCAAAGGGATTTGATGTAATGGCCACCGTTTGAGCAGGCACGGATATACTGCGTGTATAGTGTGGTGTCACACACTGGATTTTAAGGATTACATATTACACTTGTTTACTTCATTCACATTACACAATTACGCTGAAACGACAACTAAATCTGACGCGAGAAGCTGTTGTTTGGCCTAAATGTAAAGACAGCATGGTTAAAGTGCAGCAGCCAAAGAAAAGGGAGACAGTTTGAGTATATGTGATCGACAGCGATGGATTAAGGCATTATGCAACACTGTGGGGAGTAAAAAAAAAAAGATTAGAATTTGGATCCTCGCTCTATCCGATGCTGTCTGTCTGTTCATTCATCCCTATTCCTCTCTCTCGGTTTCCTGCGACACACAGCACGGGTTCAAAGGACAGGTTTTAAGTTTAGGTGAAGTAACTGCAGTTTTACAATCACATTAAGATGTTATCTAATATGAGTAACAATCAAGCAAAGGACCATCCAAGCTGTCGACACACAGACAGATGAAGCAAATTAGGCCATAGAGCGGCGCTAAACCTCCCGCTGCTCAGTTTAATGTCACCGCCATCTAGAGGGTGGAAATCACTCTGCAACATGTGACACATCTCACCACAAGACTTTACAGTAAATCAGATCTGCTACAAAACTATGAAATGTCAAAACAATAACAATGGTTTGTACCATACTCTGTAGTGGTACAATCGCTGAAATTATTAGCTCAGATTATCAACACAATGATATCAGAAATATTTTTGAAACACAATGACTTTTTAAAGGATTTATGAAGATGTTTTTTGGTTCAAGTTTGATTCCCTTCCCTTCATAAGTCTATGATGTGATTTAGGGTGTATCAAATATGATGAATATGGTATGACTTCTTAACAATGCTGAAAGTATTGTATGATAGTATAGTAAAATATTATTTGTGTATCTCTTCTTTCCTAAAGAGTCCAACAAGAGCCTCTAACAGGTGTCTGAGAGCTTAAACCTTCTCCACTTGAAGGTGAAAGCAAAACGGTGTTACTGGGACGCTGCCTGGACAAAATCATGACAAACTTAATGAAGTTGGAAATATTCAATGTGAATCAACGTTATTCAAAAAAGGAGCAGAGCATATAGCTGTGAACTAAGTTCAAAAATCTGAAATGCAGGTAACATCCTGTGCGTAATACATGGATGAAAGGACAAAGAAATGCAGCCACTAAACTCCTGCGTGAAAAACATCACACACATGAATCACACTGACATAAGCAGGAGCTGCTTCAGAATAACCTTGGGTGCAGACATTAACATGTTCAAGTTGCATAAAGTATGTTGAGAAAATGTTTTTCTTTGTACTTCACTTCCTTAAAAACAAAACGTTGAGCAAATGTAACTTAATGCATGTCTCCAAGAAAGATCATTTTAATAAGATTACATTGTTTGAGTGCCTTCAAGTTTGAAATAATTCCTTAAAGTCTGTTCCTTGATGATCAAATGTCTTATATCAACACATATCAAGGGAAAGCATCTTAAGCTCTCTTTAAAGGCAACTCAGATAAAGTCATGGTAGAGCTGTACTTCATTGACTAACACCCAAGTGGGCCAAGAATAGTGTTTCGTATACAGAAAATCCTATAGATGCGCAATCTTGGCATAGTTTACCTCTGCAAATCTACTAGATGTTTCTGCTACAAGCTCCTAATTCAAAATCTCAAGTAAGGAAATAAGAGAACTTTCAAAAAGAAAATGTTCTACATAACTAGGCAGTTGAGAGCATCCTCCTCATCAGTCACGTCACACATGTATAATCCTGCTATCTTGTCAGTCTGTGCATACTATGATTCTTGTTTGATTGAATAACATATGTAATATTGATCCTGGATGGGAACCGGCCAATAGTGCACTGTGCATGTTTTTAATATAAGCTAGCCTACATGAAATAGCCTGTCAACTTTTTCAACACAGGCCTACGAAAAGTTAGCTCTACTTCTCGAAAATAAATTGTCATCGCTCGTAGTTTTATACAAAATAGGGTTGGATCGGTGTCATATCCGTTAGTCAGTCTCTGTAACGGGTCCTCTCCGGTGATATGCACCCTTCAGATTTTCTTGCGGACGCTTAAGGCCACGGAGTTCCCGTAGAGCAGCCGGTCCCGCTCGCGCACCTCCTCCTGCAGCTTGGCCTCGGCGACCCGCAGCTGGCGGATGGTCGCCTTCATCTCCTTCATCTTCACCTCCATCAGCGCGATGATGTCCCGCTGCTCGTTCAGCTTCCGCAGCAGCTCGGCCGACGTGGTGCCGGTGGTCAGCGAGTACGAGTGGTCCAGCGGGCTGCTGGTTACACTCACGTACTGCACGGCCGCCAGGTGCGAACCGGTTTCCGACAGGTCGTCCCCGATGAACTCCTCGGTGATGGGCTCCGTGTAACTTGTCCCCTCTGTCTGTGCGGGGAGCCGCGCCGTGCCCAGGTACTCCCCGTTCTGCCCTATCTGCACCACGGTGATGCTGCTGTCATCACTCGCCTCTCCTCCCGTGGTGCCCTCGGCTCCCTCCGCCGCCACACTGCCCAGCACACTGGAGATCAATATCCCAGAGGGGGCTGCGGCACCGGGTGCTGTAGCCCCCGCCGCTGACACCTTCCTGCCTCTGCCCCTCCGGCTCCTGCGCTCATTGACACCCCGCAGAGGGAAGAGGGACGGCACTCTGATGGTGTAGGTCTTCCTCCCGCCGGCGAAGTGCACGCTGCAGACCCGGTGCCCGGTGGTGGGCTGGAAGGTGCTGAAGCAGCCGCTGACCCCGGCCCGGGAGATGTTCCGCAGCCACAGCTCCCTCAGCGTGCTGTCTTTGGGAAACGTGTAGAAGCGCAGGTCCCGGTCCCGGTGCGAGTTGTTGTAGCAGCCCGGGACACAGCACGTAAAACCTGGCATGTTTGCTTCAACACTTAGGCTTTAGAGCACGGTCGTCGGGGTGAAGTTTAGCTTATTTAATTGTTGTTTCTTTTTTCAATGCGTTGTAATGAAGCTCAGTGGCCTACAAGCGGAACTACACGTCCCACAACGCTAACAACTTCCTGTTTATTTTTCACCAAAAGTGAGCTGCTTTTCTTCTTACGACCGCTAAATCCACCGGTATTTATCCGGACTCCAAGCATGTAGAGCTTGTATTTATGATGAAATTGAGGCTGGTGTTTTATTTTCGCTGGTAAATGTCTCGTTTTGTTCTTCGCGGTGTTATCAAGCCAACCGTCCTCTGCTGAGAACTAAAAGTCCCAGAATTCCTTGCGCTCCCCCTGCAGGTCCGTTAGAAAACGAGCGCCCCTACTGGCCAGTGTGGGTAAAGCGGGGGTGGGTCAAATCAATGTCCAGGTGATTTCCTTTACAAGTGAAAACGATCTGGACAGAAGATTCGTCTTAAATATTCTCATTGTTAAATTGTATAGCTATGATGCATTCAAAGGTGGTCTCAAATTAACCCTAATTTTCACAAGCTAAATCATTAAATCTAACTTTATTTTTAATTAAAAGGTCTGACAAATCAGAAAACCATCAGCATGGTCTATTTCTGTTCCTTTTATACCTGTTAATCGGTGATATAAATGACGGTGTTTTATCATTTAAATGGTTCTTAAACAATAAGAGTAATATAATAAAAAATAATGCCATCAAAGCTATGGTCATCTATAATGCCTAAAACTAAAAGAGATGTTTACTCGTCTCTTCTTGTTCTTCTAAAATAAGTTAGTCGAAAAGGAATTCAATTATCTTTATTTTTTAAATGTGGTAACCTTTTCAGCCACCTGATGGCCTTTTAGATCCCTTCTTTGTGTTTGACTCTTTCCTGTCAGCAGGGAATCTTTTTTATTTGATTTAAATACTTTTAAAAGATACAAATGATGAACAAAAACAGTAAATATCTGTACAGTTTAATAATATCTTCCTTTATTAAAAGAGTGAAAGATCATATGCATAATTAAAAATTTGGGCATTCAAAACTATAAAAAGATATTATCAATGGCAGCAGTGGATGTTTTGGTGTAAGATTATTATTGCCAGTGTATGGCGTAGCTTAAGTTCACCATAGCAAGTGTAACTAATTGTAATCATGTCTAAAATGGTTACTTCTAAAATATCACTAAAGAAATAAAAACTGTGTGCATAAAACTTTGTAAAGGAGGTTTGTGAAGTCTCATCGCACTGAATCATGGGGAAACAGAGAGAGAATCCACTTCCTCCACTTGACACACAGCAATTAGTCACATAATTAATCCATGTTATATTTTAGTTATTTGCCTTTAATCGACATAATAACAAGTTCCACAGGGAGCACATTTGCTTCTATTTAGTATTAATGTGCGTAAGGCTAAAGCCATAATTTTGAGGTGTAACTTTCCCTTGATTCTCCGCTGGTGAGCCATCTCCTACCTCCTGTAGTATCTCTGGTCCTCCCCACAGTCCTGCCGTTGCTACTGAAGTTACCACTAGCAACTGGGCAGCGCCCGGCGGAGCACCTTCAACCGCTGTTCATGTTGTCCTGCTTCATACAGTAGGTAGCACATTTTACTCATATGATGGGTTTTTATCAAGCCAAGTTCAAAGACAGTTAGACGACTTATCTCTTGATATTAACTCTGTAAAGTAGCTTTGTTTATCGGGGGCTTTTTGGTCTCGTTTTGCGGCTGGCTAGCTGAACATGCTAGCTAATGTTAGCTAAGTGTGTGTGGACACTAGCTATCCACCATCACACTCCTATAGACTGTTCAAAGTAGTGGCCACTTCGCACAAGTAAGTGGTATTGTTAAATATAGCTAGAGCCAAAGTACTTTTGATCCCAACAGCAGTATTGTGTGCGTTATTACTTTGTTATCTGATTAACAAATAGCAGCAAGGCTAGGTTACTTTCAGTGTTGTCTGTGAGAGAAAACCTGGTAAATGTGTTTGTTTGGCTGTTTACAACCCGAGGTGATCCGGTGTGATAAATGCAGACCATATGTTTCTTAAGGTTAACACAGGTAATGCAGGTGCCATTATCAGTCTGTGGTTGTACAGTCATAGCGACAAGCTGCCCCTGCCAGCCAGTATTTTAATGTCACCGTCATATCTTCTCCCATAAATGTATATTCCCAATATTATAAATAGACAAACCATGTATAGTCTCTTTTTTACAACCCCATTAGAACCCAGCCAACGAAGAGCTGTTTCCCCCTCACCCTACTTCTCAAAAGAGATAATGGTGTAGGCAGGTGCTCCACCATACAAACCCCACTAACAGCACTTTCATAGGCTGAAATTCACATTATAGTTGCATATTCATAACAGTTAGTTTAGAAAGTCAACAAAGGTTGTGTTAGGAGATAAGGAATACAATAATATCACAAGTCATTTTTATATCTATATATCATGTCATTTAGATAAGTTGTTGATGAACTATGTTGTTCTGTGTTCAACTCGTTGTACATTCACTCCACTGTATAAGTGTTTAACCTGGATAGGGTCAAACACACAGACATCTGTGGCTCTACAGAGGTAGAGGTGACGTTGACTTTAGGTGGGTGTGGATCAACTGAGGAATGGCATGTTAACTATGTAGCAGGACACAATGCAAGTAACTATCGGAGACTGCTTATGGGAGAAACTGGTTTACACCTCCATTAGACATGTTTGTCCTGTTTGTTGATACAGTCACTAGATATTGTGCAAAAAGAGACAAGTTACTGTACTGGTTTTGGTTATCGTAATAATGTGAAATAGATCAATTATCCTATAATGTCTGGTCTTAAAATCAGCATGAACTGCTTTGAATGAACAGTGAATGTGTTAACATAGACGAGCGTGCACAGCATTATTGCCCATCTTTAGACAACAGCATAAAACATTTTTTTTTACACATATTGCAGATTAAGTCAATGTGACATATTATTTATCTCCTTTTTATTTTTACAGGTACAATCTTAATTTCCAAAAACAGTCAAGACATGAGAGGAAAGTAAATTGTATGCTCTTGGGATGTTGTTGAGGCTGGCTATGGTTCGCACGTAAGGTCGCACTGAGTGGCACTGCCATGTTGCCAGGAGTCGGTGTATTTGGCACGGGCAGCACAGCCCGAGTGCTGGTACCGCTGTTGAAAGCTGAAGGCTTTGAGGTCCATGCAGTTTGGGGGAAAAGCGAAGAGGAGGCAGGCTGCCTGGCAAAGGAGCTCGGCATCCCGTTCCACACCAGCCGATCTGATGACGTCCTGCTGCACCAAGACGTCGACCTTGTTTGCATCTATATTCCACCCTCAATGACAAGGCAGATTGCTGTCAAAGCACTGGGTAAGAAGTCACTTTTTTTTACTTTTATCATGTTTTTGTTTAAGTTAATGATTACAAAAAAAAGGAACTTAGTTTACTTCCTAAACACCAGCTTCAGATCTTATACAACAGTTAAAAATCATCTACAAATACATACAGTTAATGTGACTTGACCCAGCTGGGCCTGGTGGGTCGGCTCTGGAACAGATTTAACATTTTTGACTGTAATGACAGTACTCCCCGAAAACTAAAAATGGCTGCATTTTTCTGTAACCTATTCCTCAGGGTTTATCCTAGTGATGTGATTAATGACAATCATTTCCGTAACCACAGGGAAAATAGCATTTTGAGGGACGAAAAAGAAAATCCTTATGGATTCAAACTTAACCACATTTTACATCTGTTAACAGCTCATTGAGGGAAACATAGCAAACACATTTCCTTATCAGAGGAGACTAGATCTATAAAGTTATCTTACTGTATCTGATGGAATTCCTGAGTGTTGACCTCAGCATCCTGTTTTAGTTGCAACTTCCTGAGTAATTCCCCACCAAAGTATTTATCAACGGCACTACTCCCAAGGCCGCCAATCTCCATATATAAAAGCCATACACACCCTTTGTGCTATCAATGTGGCTGCATGAGAAAGTTGAGTTTTTTGTTTATTCATTCCAATCTCCAGGAACTGAGGGGTAATGGCATTTAAAGCAATCGACTCCACAGGGTGCCCGAGCACGGACATATCAAGTCCAGCCTACAGCTTCAAATCATATTTAATATACACTCAGTTGCAACTTCAAAACGAACAAATGCAGTTTAGAGAGGCATAGAACAAATCTGATTAGGAACCCTCGTAATCAGCACAAAGATTACCAGATTAATTAAAAATTAATTAATTAATTAATTAATCTTTTTGTTGCTGTTTTTCCAATACAATACAACCAAAAAATCATAAAACGTTTTGTGGGGTGGCATATTATATTTTGTTAAAGTTAAATTCTAGTATTCTAATTGCACTCAGTAATTTGATCAGAGATGAGTATAAACCCTTCCTGTCTCTCTCTCTCCCTGCAGGTATAGGTAAGAATGTTCTGTGTGAGAAAGCTGCAACCGCTGTGGATTCCTTCAAGATGGTGACTGCTGCCAGATACTACCCACAGCTGCTCAGCATTATGGGTAATACCCTGCGCTTCCTGCCAGCTTTCGCAGCAATGCGCCAGCTACTGGTGGAGAGATATGTTGGCGAGATGCAGGTGTGTGATGTGCGTGTGTATGGCCCCAGCCTCCTGGACCAGGCGTACGGCTGGACGTGTGAGGAGCTGATGGGCGGAGGCGGACTGCACACCGTCGGCTCCTCCGTCATTGACCTTTTAAGTTACCTGACGGGTGAACGAGCCCATCGTGTTCATGGCTTATTGCGGACCTTTGTACAACAAAATGGTTTGATCCGAGGCATCCGCCGCGTCACCAGCGATGATTTCTGCTTCTTCCAGATGTTGATGGGTGGAACCGGGTCTCGCTCGGGCGGCGTTTGTTGCACCGTCACCCTGAACTTCAACATGCCGGGGTCATTTGTGCACGAAGTAATGGTAGTCGGATCCACTGGGAGACTGGTTGCCAGGGGGACAGAGCTATATGGCCAGCGCAATGGGAGTAAAAGTGAGGAGCTGTTGCTAGGCGACAGTGGGTGGGTGGGGCCAGAGGTGAAAGAGATGCCCCTGCCTCACCTGCAGGGGCTCAGCTCCATGGTGAAGGCACTGAGAGAGTCTTTTCAGGCTCATGAGGAGCGCAGGTCATGGGCACGAGGACCGGTCGCCATGGCACCGACATTTGAAGATGGTCTGTACGTGCAGACCGTGGTGGAGGCAGTGAAGCGGTCCAGCTGTAGTGGAGAGTGGGAGTGTGTTGAGATCATGAGTCAGGAGCCAGATCCCAATCACAACCTGTGTGAAGCTCTGCAGAGAAACAAGAACTGAATCTATTTACAAACCCAGTGCAACTACTACATGTTTCCGACGGTCGGCCTCTGAATGTTTCTCCTTTCTGTCAGCTGCTGAGGCAGTTTACATGTACCATGACTACTTACATTTAGCATTTTCACATTCTGCCACATTTTGAGCAGAATATTTTTGCTTTAGAAATCAAAGCTGTGGATGTTTGTACCCTCACAGTTATGATTTGTTTGTACACTAAATGTGTTGACCTCAGCTCCATTATTCTGATTCTCAACCGAAAATATTATTATAGCTGTGTCAAAATCTACCTGTGCTCCGTTTACATGTTTATTATCTGTAACATGCCAAAAAGTAGACACAGCTTTTTGTATCACTGGAGCCTAAAGTCATGGAGCAATGCCTGAAAAGTTCCCTTTAAATAAGGTTGATATATGTCTCCTGTCGGCAAGGCACCACTCCTAAGTCAAATATTGGCCAGGAGAAAAAGTCCTTGATAGGCAAAATACAACCTTTCAGTGGACGTCCGACCGTTTGCTTATCCTCACTTTAAGAAGCTTGTGTGGACATATTTCTGTCATTTATGGAACCAGCCGCTTATATGCAGGTTGTATTTTGAGACATCAGACCTTGAGTGGTTTCAGTGTTTCCCAGAGTTATACATTACACTACAAGATAATGGTCTAGTGGCTACGTATCAGCACTAACAAAGCTGTTAAGTTGCTGCAACCTAACACGTCTCAGGAGGGAACGCAATTTCATAGTTTGGCTCAAATTGAAACACAACTTTAAGTACAGTCCAACCGAGAAAACATGTGAATCTTTATTGTACATATAGATGTATGTTGGTGTTAATTTATTTTCAACATGAATAGCACATTATTCTGAAAGGGAGTGGGCATGAGGATGATTTGACTAACAAAACTCTTTCAGTGCTTGCAGTGTGGCGACTGGCACAATTCAAATGATGCTCTTTTGGAGCTCGGCCTCTATTCAAATATAGAATAAGAATAATGGAGCTGTGCACTGTTTATTTTTATTTTTTGGATTTTGTAACAATAAGCATACATTTAAAGAATGAATGAGGGGCTTGTAGGTTTTGATGTTAATATATGTCATGGCATACCTAAAATACCAGGGATTGAGTAAAATAAGCTATGTTAAACTGAACATTAAAAAGTCTAATTTATATAAATCTCCTGCAAAATGTCAGATTCCTAAGGCTATCTTAAATCTTTATATCAGATGTCACACATCCTGTCGGTAGAGCAGTTATGGTGAGCTGAAATTATGAACTGCTACGGTGGATTTCAGTAGTGGCATGTTTCATTGAAAGTATACCAACTTCAAACCACTCAATCCATATGTTCAGTATGCTCAGTCATTTAAATGTGACTATTTCCAGATACACTACTTAAAGAAGCTCCAATGAGGGCGACACTTCAAGTGTTTTTAGTAATGGTTTATATAAACATCTTCTGGAACAAACGGAACATATGGACAGAGTTGAAGTAGTAGCAGGAGCTCACCTGGTACAACTCACCACCTATTGATCCATTCAAACTTTCAGTAAGGAAGGAAACTACCACCTTTTAACCTCTCAAGCATTTATAGGATGAGCATTTGATGCTCAAATGAAAGATTTTAGGTGGAGTAACGCAATGAATCTTAGAATCCTAGAAATAAGTAACCTTTTATTGTTATACTGACAACAGTTTTAAATATTCAAAGACCTAGGATATTTGACAACTAGATTTAGTTTAAAATGTGTGTCAAAAGGTTTGTTTACATGAGATAACTATGAAGTTATTTGAATGCTTTTTGAAAGATTTTGTTCATGCAATCTATGCATTTTAAGTTATTACAGATGTTTAAATCAAGAGAGAGGAGTCTGCCCTTCATCCGAAACACCTTACTGATCTTTTCATTGAGTAGAACCACTGGATCTGATGTGCATAAAAGTGTAAATGTGTGCCTCTCTAAGTTGCTCAGACCAAGCTAAGTTTTTAGTTGTTATAGTCGCTCACTGCATTTCAGTACTGCTGAATAATATTGGGCTCGGCGCTCCTCCTGCTGAGACAGGAGGTGAGGACAGAAACAGGCTGCTGTTTGTTGTATTGGTCTGTTCCTTTCTTAGACCCACGCAGGATCTGCATATAAGGAAACATGCACCTAACACGCTTACCTCACGCTATCCTAACAATGCTTGTAATTAATCAAGTTTACATTAAGTGTCTTTATAAAACGCATCACCTTTTCTCGCAGGATTTTCGACAACCCACCACTATTAAAATACATTCCAACCAAGTTTTCACCTTCTTCTTTTTCTCTTGTTCTTTACACTGATAACGGATAAAAGTGCCACATATTTAATATGCTGTGTGGTGCTATTACCAGCCGGCTCACTGCGAAAATGAATTTAACACATGTCTGTATAAGGAAGTGTTTTTGTATTTATTTATGTCTTGGTGTGGAGAAAGTTTCCCATTGTTTATTTTGTTCAGTGTTTGTGTCACTCTTAAGTATGTGAATTTCTGTTGTAGTATTTATCTTGTTTAGTTTTAGTGTTTAATATGGCTTTTTGAGCACAATTTATGTTGGTAAACTGTACTGTTCATTTGCCTGACAGATACTTCCTTAATAAATACAGTTGTATTCATTTACTGTCTTTGTTCAGAAAGTGTATTAATTATGTAAAGATAACATTTCAATGTTTTTGTTTTGAACCCAGACAACACATATTCAAATTATTCAGCAAGTCAAATCTTTGACTCAGTGTTGGTTGTGTTGTATACTGATCTGGCAGTAAGCTTATATTTACTCATTATCACACAAATAAAATGCAACGTGTTACATCCTCCCTCATCTCCATAGAGCATATAGTCACCATTTCTGAATCGGAGCATTGTGCTGCAGTCAAAGGGTTTACAGGATTTGCTTTCTGGAAACAACTTTCAACATTTGATGCAAATACAGTAACTAAGCTGTTCCTGTTCTCAAAGTGCAGGTTCAGCTCTAAAAACACATTTGTAAACGATGATTGAACACTATCAATTCAACATCTTGATTTATAGTAAAGCTAGGTAGGAACCAAAGGATGCTTGATATGAGGGTTGACATTTAGTTGTTCAGGACAGGTTAAACCATAAATACAGATTGTAGAAACTTTTAAATATGTAAAAACTAGGCTACATCCAACATCCAGTATATCAGATGTAGGTAAGTGAAATATCCCCACCGTGGTCACATAGAGAATGCACTTTAAAATTACATTTTGGAAACAGAGATTGTATTCAAATTCCATTCCATTAATGTATTATTGAAATGGGAGAATTATATGGGCTTGAGTTTAATAGACATTCACAGATCGGTAATTCCTTTTGTTGTGTTTGTAACAAAAACTAGCCGACTATCCCCGCCCCGGATATGAGTTAAGGACGGTGGCAGCAATGCGTTGTGGGACAATGTGTAGCAACTAGCTACCCTGATATAAACACAAAAGCTAACAGTCGACATTTTAGTTAAAAAAGACGAATTTCTACACTGTTTCTCAGACCGATGCCGTATTAAGAAGCACCGGGGACAGCGGTAGTCACAGTCTGTAAATTAAGCGCTGTTTTGGGCTTTTATCAAACCGTCGACCTTCGAGAAGATGGAATCGAAACAAGTCACTTTCGGTATGCTTGCCTTTAACTCAGATTAAACAACTAAATAATGTCCTTGTTAACGATTTCACACACTGCTGGGAGCACAAAACAGCAATTCACATTAGGTAAACAACCATGGCATCTTTATGTTTTTATTTACACCAATGCTTTTCCTCTTGTGACATGTCGAAATGTGGAAAAGCAACTTTGATTTGACTCTACACTCAATTAAAACGTGTCTTCTTTTCCAGTCACACACCTTAAATAAAAAGTTGTTCATCATCATTCTAGTGCTGAAATAATTAGTTTGCAATTAATGCAAATGTTCAGTTGCAGCATTAATAACTTTCTGTTTTCCTGCCATTTAGTGGAGCTGGCTTTGGGGGATGCACAACAATACAGCTTCCCCTCTGTGAATGGAGCAGTTATTAAAAGCATCCTGGAAATTGCAGATGGAGCTCTAGTGAAACAACTAACTCCTGAAGAGGCGATTGACGACCTCCCTGTCAAACGTACACAGAAACGGAATAGACGCAGCTTAATTTGGAGGCACTACGATGAGACGGACAGTTCTTCATCTGTTCGCTGCCGCATTTGCAGCAAGATGCAGAGCATTGAAGGCGGCAGCACCAGCAACCTGCATCGGCATATCTCAACGAAACATCCGGAAGTGTCTTCTCAGCTCCTAGCAGACAGGCAGCACTTACAGAGCTCACCTGCTTCTGAGGACACATCAACACAACCAAAGACCGCTGGTGAGACGCAGAGAAAGTTATTTGGTAATGTTTTATAACTCATTGCTGTTTGTGTGTGTAGTTCAGTTAATACACACACCTTCTGATGCTCAAACTTGAACACATCACCAGTGTTGTTTCCTGGAGTCACTGGGTGTTTCAGGACAGCCCCTCTTCCAGGCGACCAGTCCGAGGTTGATCAGACCTCAGCCTGTGTTCAAGTGGGCGCTGTGGCTCAGTGGTCTAGTGCGTTGAATTTAGGATCAGGGGAGCACGAGTTCAATCCCCACTGCAGTCAGCATGTCGTTGTATCCTTGGGCAATACACTTCACCCCAAGTCGCTCCTGTGGGGATTGTCCACAGTAAGTCGCTTTGGATAAAAGCGTCTAACAGAACACAAAGGGCATGCAGGTTGAAAAAGTTAGTTCATTCTAACTTTTTTTGCCAAATAAGTGAAATATGTCAATATATTGTTTTTACAAAACATGATATGGTCTGAAGGCGTTTTTTCTCTTGGAACAGTTATTTAAATAAAATCGTATTAAATAGTAATCAGCAATGAAACATTAGTTGCAGTTCTCTTATATAATTGTATTTTCCCTTTTTTTAGTGGACCTGGATCTGGCAGCTGATGAATCTGAAAAATTAGATGAAGCTGGCGTAAATTCTCCTTGTGACATCTACTTGGACCAAGATGTACGCATAGTGGGTGATATCATCCCTGCAAAAATTGGCGTAAAACGAAGTAAACGCAGCTTAATTTGGAGGTACTATGATGAGACGGACAGTTCTTCATCTGCTCGCTGCTGCATTTGCAGAAAGTTGCAGAGCTTTGAAGGCGGCAGCACCGGCAACCTGCATCGGCATATCTCAAAGAGACATCCGGAAGTGTATTCTCAGCTCCTAGCAGACAGGCAGCAGAGCTCACCTGCTTCTGAGGGCACATCAACACAACCAAAGACCGCTGGTGGGACGGAGAAGCGGAGAAAGTTACTTGGTAATGTTTTATAACTCATTGCTGTTTGAGTGTGTAGTTCAGTTAATACAAACACCTTCTGATGCTCCAACACATCATCAGTGTTGTTTCCTGGAGTCACTGGGTTTTTCTGGTCTTGCAACAGACAGCCCCTCTTCCAGTTATTTAAATAAAATCATATTGTATAGTAACCAGCAATGAAAAATTAGTTGCAGTTCTCTTATATAATTGTATTTTCCCTTTTTTAGTGGACTCTGACCTTGATCTGGCAACCGATGAATCTGACAAATTAGAAGAAGCTGACGTTAATTCTCCTTGTGAAATCTACCTGGACGAAGATGGAGTTGGACACATAGTGAGTGATGACCGCCCTGTACAAGTTAAACAGAATAAACGCAGCTTAATTTGGAGGCACTTCGAGCATCTGGACAGTTTAAATGCTGCACGTTGCCACATCTGCATGAAGAAGATTCAGTGCTCTGACGGCCGCAGCACCAGCAACCTGCATCGGCACCTGTCGAAGAGACACCCAGCGGTGTTTACTCAGCTGCTAGAAGACGGCAAGCGGAAATCTCGACCCAACTCATCACGGGGCTTAAATGTTACTGGGGCCACATCGAAATTGGCAGCGACACACTCTTCTGGTAATGTTTGTTTTTTAAAGAAATATATACTTTTGTAGTTTTTATAAATAAACAACAAAACCCACCTCTTCATTTATCAGTAGACTAAGTAATGATAAGTATTGAGTAATATGTTTTGAGGTTAAATGCACCCCTGGTTTTATCTAATCAACATTTGAAAGAATGTTATACATATCTCTCTGTACCTTTCCTTTATAATCCAACTGTAAAATAAGTAAATATGAAGGTAGAATATCCAGTTAGAACATTATTTGATTACTTGTGTGTTTAACCAATATAAGTACAAGTGTTGTCGTTTTCTCAGTAATTGAAGTATCTCAGCATCAAAGTTAGATAGATACATCTGCCACACTTAAACAGTTTATTAACATTTAACATGTTTGGTTATATTGTAGCCAAGATTGAAAATATATTAAACATGCAACCTTCTCTTTCCCTCTTACAGGTGCATTGGACGATTCAAGAGCATCAGAGGGAGAAAAGCAAATGTTCAAGAGAGAGCAGGAGCTGATAGAAGCTCTGAGGCGAGCGCAGAGACAGGAGGCTCGAGCTCTGGAGGATCAGAGGGAGCTGCTTGAGATGCTGCGGGTGGGGAATGCCAGGGAAGCGGCTGCAGAAAGAGAGGAGATCGAGTCACTAAGGAAAGCACAGCTGGAGGAAGCCAAATACTTGAGTAAACAGAGAGAAGAGCTGAATAGTGAAAAGCAAGAGCTGCAGAGGCAAAGGGAAAAACTTCAGCAGGAAAGAAAACAACTTGTATTGTTGTCAAACAAACCTGATCCTATATGACTGTATGACTGAATTTCTATTTGATTAAATTACCATTTAACAAAAACAAAACAAAAAAACAATCACTGGTCGGTTGTTTTTGTTTCTGTAACACCTGTGTTGCACTGCTTCTTCATCCCTCTGCTACCCATCTGGAGCTGACTCATTTAATTATGGGATCTCCTGATATTATTCTGGCATCAAATGATTCGAAATGTCCAGGACAAACCCCTTCCTCTGAACTCAGCCTGCTTTCACTAATGACTGCAACAAGCCATTTTCAATAGTAAAATGCAGGCAGAGATTGGTAATACATTTGCCGCTCACTCTACATTTCTTCGTTTCAAACATTTATTTAACCAGGTGGTCCCATTTAGATCATCGATCTCTTTTTCAAGGGAGACCTGCAGCAAGTAGGTTACACCATGAAACAGAAAAAAACCTGCACCAAGTAGGTTACACCATGAAACAGAAAACCACCTGCACCAAGTAGGTTACAACATGAAACAAAACAACCTGCACCCAGTAGGTTACAACATGAAACAAAACAACCTGCACCCAGTAGGTTACAACATGAAACAAAACAACCTGCACCCAGTAGGTTACAACATGAAACAGAAAACAACCTGCACCCAGTAGGTTACAACATGAAACAGAAAACCACCTGCACCAAGTAGGTTACAACATGAAACAAAACAACCTGCACCCAGTAGGTTACAACATGAAACAAAACAACCTGCACCCAGTAGGTTACAACATGAAACAGAAAACGATAAAGGACATCATACATTATATTGACAGGGCTACATTTACATAACTATCGGTATTGACAAGTGCCAACAGTATCAAGTATCATTGCACCTATCCGAGCTTTAAAAACATGGAACCAATTTGC